TTTTTGGTGAAGATATCTATCGAATGAATTGGAGAATTCTTCCTGATTTGAGGTCCTTGTTACAAAACTGTGTAAACAGAACATTTGAACGTAAACTTGATGTTCTGTGTTTGTGAGATCAGTCAGGTATATTTTGTTGTGTGGAAAGTGTCCTATGGAAAAATATTGCTGCTTCTCTGGTTCTCATCCTACAAACTGTTCTGCACCAACTCAGGCATGCCACGAGCAGAGCCTTAACCAGTCAGCACCTTCCTATCCAAGAGCACCAGCATTCTCTGTGCACAGATTCCAAATGTGAGCCTTACTGTGGTATTCGCGGTCACTGGGCCTTGGTTAGGACCCTTTGTTTTGTGGGTGCCCAATGAAAAGTGGCCCAGAACTACCATGTATTTACTATTTTAATACCCCCCTTGCTTTACTACGGCATGTATTAATTTGATAGACAAGGTCCTGCCCTTGTGAATGAATGGTAACTGGAAATTTTCTGTTACATTGCCCCCAAGGTCAATGTAAATAGTGCTCAATCATTTAACAGTTTAATGTGTACAAATTAAGAGCTCATGGACTGTAGTTCGAGCCAGTCTATATTTGTGTAATTTCCTTTTCTCAACAGTACGTTAAATTCGGGACCATGATTGATAATGTTCTTTGTCATAAAATGCTAATGAGACCTCAAAAGTAACCCTGAACTGTACATAAACCATAGACAACTGAATTGGTTTAGAGCTCACATTTAATGCTAGCCCCAATCCAAGAACAATTAGTTCTTATGACATGGCCCTGTTTGATGCTTTCCCTCATGAAGAGATCACTGAATATATGGGTGCTACAGCAAATGGTGGTGAAGAACGTAGATGGTATCCAGCAATTATAAACAATAGCGTCTGGGGTCTTAAAGGCTTATATTCAAGCAATCAGCCATCGAAGGGAGGCATCAACTAAATCCACATGAAAGACGCACACCAGCCTGTGTGATCTAAGGATGATAAATAGTAAAATCCAGATCTGAAGGTGGGACTGGTATTAGAGCTTACATTGTGAACACCCAATTTGCAGGCTATAGATAACAGTGGAAACCCAAAATCCAGTCATTTGCAGGCTCCCTACATAGATTTAATGTCTGGAAGATCTTCTGTGACCACAGTCAAGGGGTGTGAACAACCTTGATTTCAAGCAGAGACTACTGTAAACTCAGTCATGGTGGATGTAATAGGTTAAAATGTGATACCTGGTCGTTTAGTCTCCCTTTTGACCTATTTTGGATTTCTACTAGTTTTCAATATTTCCTGCTTTTTTCTCAACAGAGGTTTTCACATCCAGTTTGTTTTAATATTGTTGTTAGTCTTTTTATTCTTGTGTTAAAAACCACACCCATATCTGCTGTTTTTAAAATGCCTGCCAGCATGTGAAGTACAGCATGGGTGGGTGTATAGAGCCAGTAACTGACGGAATAGCTTGTTGGGGATACGGTGTATAGGGAGGGAAGGTGGGAACACCTAGGAGCTAATGATGAATACAGGAGGGTGGACGAGGTTTGCTGGTGGTGATGCCTAGACATCTCTTTCATACGCCTGGACTATGGATGCATCTGACATGTGAATTCTGTCTCAATAAAACTATTGAGTGGAGGGAGGAATGTGAGCCTTAAATGATTAAACATCGTTACCCTAACCTTTCAACAAAGTCATCAGCAGATGCTCTGTCTGGTTGTAGAATTGACAGAGAGGCTGGGCAACAAGGGAGATTTGGAATTGGGTTTCCCGTGTTTGGACAGGAGTGCCCTAAATAGGTGATGCCTGTGTCAGGATTGGTTTTAATAACTCAGAGCTGTGGTGCATGAGTGACCCTCTCCGAGGGAAGGGGCAGTAGGCCAATGCTCCTTCTGAAGAGAAGAATACATCACACTAAACATTGCTCACCGTGGAGATGCAAAGAGCCCTCCTTTTGACACTGATATTGCAGCACTTTGAGCACAGCTTATGCCATGCCAACATAAAGCCGATGCCAACTCTGCAGGACAGAGCAGAACGGCTCCTCCGGGTTTCAGAGATCACCACTCGCCACAGGAGAAGACAGGTCCTCTTCCTTGTGCAGAGCAGCTGGTGGGTTTGAACTGCTGACCCGGTAGTCGGCTGCACACTAGAACCCACTGTGCCACCAGGGCTCCTCACATGACACGCTGGGAAAAAGCCAGAATCAGATTCACGGCTGTAAGTCACCGATGCCTCACAGTGACCCTACAGTGGCAAATAAGCCACGAGGGACGATTACTGGCGTGAATGGGTAAGGTCAACTCGAGAGAAGCACATGCTTGATGTGGTCGTATTGACCGTCCAAAGATAAGCCTTTGGATGCTCACAATCACTGATTGTTGAAGAAACCATTCACTGTGTTACTTTCCCCAGCTAAACAGCTTAGTGTAGTTCTCTGAAAAGGGTTTAATAATAAAACTATTTTTAAATATATATACTAGAGAAATCTGATCTGAAAGGCTAAAAAAGGCCTGTCCTCAAACTACGGCCCATGGGCCACATG